TGTGTGGTGTGTGGTGTGTGGTGTGTGGTGTGTGGTGTGGTGTGTGGTGTGTGGTGTGTGGTGTGTGGTGTGTGGTGTGTGGTGTGTGGTGTGTGGTGTGTGGTGTGTGGTGTGTGGTGTGTGGGTGTGTGGGTGTGTGGGTGTGTGGGTGTGTGGGTGTGTGGGTGTGTGGGTGTGTGGGTGTGTGGGTGTGTGGGTGTGTGGGTGTGTGTGTGTGTGCGCGTGTGCGCGTGTGCGCGTGTGTGCGCGTGTGCGCGTGTGCGCGTGTGCGCGTGTGCGCGAGTGCGCGTGTGCGCGTGTGCGCGAGTGCGCGTGTGCGCGTGTGTGTGTGTGTGTGTGTGTGTGTGTGTGTCCCAGGGCCCCTTCAAATTGGCCGAGCGCTGCCGTGCCTCGCCGGCCGCCGTGGCACGAGATGGCCGCTGGCCCCGACCTCGCGGGCGGCGCTGCCCCGAGCCCTGCCGTCCGCCCGAGCCGCTCCGGCCGCCCCCGTCATCGGCTGGCGCCCCAGCGCGCGGCCCCGCCGAGGCCGGGGCCCCCCTCTGCTCCTGGCCCCAGGCCACTGGCCTCTCTCGGACCGAACGGCAGGGGGGGCATTTGGGGAGAGGAGGGGTCACGAAACCTGCTGCACGCGGCCGGCCTCGGCCCCGCCGTCGGGCCCACGCCTCGGTACGCGTGGGCGCCTGGCCGGCGCCGGGAGGCCCCGGGAAGATCAGCCACGCGGGCTGATTCTCGACCCTACCCTGTGCCATCCCCCCCTTCTCGTTCCCCCCCGAAAGGCCGAGGCACCCCCCTGCTCCAAGCTCCAGGCCACTGGCCTCGGCTGGTGTCGCCCTGAGAGGTGCGCCCTGCTTCGCCCCCGCCCGACGGAGGCCGGGCGCGAGGAGAAGCGCGCCCGTGCTGGACAAAATCGCGACGTCGGAGGCCTCCTGTCCTCCTCCTCCTCCTCCTCCTCCTCCTCCTCCTCCTCCTCCTCCTCCTCCTCCTCCTCCTCCTCTCCTCCTCCTCCTCCTCCTCCTCCTCCTCCTCCTCCTCCTCCTCCTCCTCCTCCTCCTCCTCCTCCTCCTCCTCCCCCCCCTCCTCCTCCTCCTCCTCCTCCTCCATTTCTACGCTGGGCTCCTCCTCCTCCTCCTTGGAGGAAGAGGGGGAAATCAGTATTGGTCTGATCGGTGTGGGCTCGGCGGAGTGGTCTGGGCCAGAGCAGCGCAAGCAAACGCCTCGCTGCGAGCGAGCGCGCTTATGCCAATCACGAGGACGAGGAGAAGAAGGAGGAGGAGGAGGAGGCCGAGGAGGAGGAGGAGGAGGAGGAGTAGAGGCGCGCTTCGGCCGCCCAAATGGGGCCCGAGCAGATGGGGTCGGTGGCTCACGCCGCATCGCCAATGCATCAGGGATGCGGCACTAATTATCCAGAACCCGATTCTCTCCGCCCGAGCGCTTAGCGCCGCCCATGCGTCGGTGATGTGGCTGGACCCGACCCGATCTACTCCCACCCCGTGCGGGCGGCCTCCAGCGCTGGAGCCGCCAGGGCCAGCTGACCGTCGCGGCCGTGCTGGAGGGCCTGAAGCAGGCCGACATGAGGCACCCTCCGCCCGTGCCGCGCGGGGCTGGTCGATCGAGGATGGATCGGTCACGGATGGCCTCCGGATGCATTCGGAGGCCTCTGGAGGACATCCCCGCGTGGCTGATGCGCCTCGATCGATCGAGGATGGATCGATCGAGGCTGGATCTGATGGACCCAAAACCGGGGTTCAGCTAAACGGCAGCGGTGCAACAGATTTTGTACAACAGATTTGTGGGGTTGCGGTAGATTTGGAGTGTGCAGTATATTCCCGGGCGCAAATCTATAGTTGAATTTTGCGTGCAGTACATTAGGTGCGATACAATGCAATACAATTCTCTGACGCAATACATTTGCAAAACCATTGTCCCAAGTTCACTGCACGACCCCCTTTTGGCTGGACCCCCTTTTGGGTCAACGAGATTGGATCGATCCATCAAGGATGGATCGATCACGGATGTGTCGCATTCTTGGTCTTCGGAGGCTTCCCTGAGGGCCCCCCAGAGTTTCTTTGGGGGGCTCGTCGTCGTTTTCGTAGAGGTCGCCGGTGTCGTCGACGTCGCCGTCGTGGTCGATGTCGTAGTCATCGTTGTCGTCGTGGTCGCCGTTGTGGTGGTCGCTAACGTGGCCCACGTCGTCGTCGTGGTCGCCGTAGTGGTTGTCGTGGTGGTGGTGGTCGTGGTGGTAGTGGTCGTCGGCGTCGTCGAGTTCGCCGTCGTGGCCGTCGTCATCGTCGCCGTCGTGGCGATCGTGGCCGTGGTCGTCATCGTGGTTGTGGTTGTCGTCATCGTCGCCATCGGCGTCGTGATTACGTACCGTCGTGGCCGTCGTCTTCGTCGCCGTCGTGGTCGTCGTTGTTCGTTCAATTTTCGCATGCAGGGGGAACGGGAGCCCGCCCTCCCATATGTCCCGTCGTTTCATGGTCAGGATGTTTTTTGCGTTTCCAACATTTTCTGGGGTTCCACTTTTTTCGGTGCCACGGGGGCTAAGGCTCCAGCTGGGCCAGAGAGCGCCCAAAGCGCCCCCAGGGGGTCACAAGACGACCAAGGGCAATCCCCGCAAAGCCCTAGGAGGGCCCCAGAGAAGTCCAAGAAGACGGCCGAGGGAGAGATCAACAGGACCCAAAACGGCCCAAGAGCGTCCCGAGGTATCCCAAGAATTCCTAGACCTGGTGGGGGCCGTGAACTTCGAAACCTCTTTCTTTTCTCCCTGATCCTTCTCCCTCCCGTGTTTTTTCCCTCGCGGTCGTCGTCACCCCCCGCCTCGAAGTCTCGAGCCCGCGGCCCTCTGAGCCTTTACGAGACGCAGCCCCGCCCTCCTCCCCATCCCTCCTCCGCCGCCATATCCTCCCATTGACCTCCTTCCTCTTCCCCTCCGTAGCCATTTTGGCTCAAGTCCGTTGCGAAAGGCTCAGGGATTTGGCTTGGCATTGGGGATCCGCGACCCCGCTTGTGTTCGCATACACAGCCGTCCAGGGTACTGCGGCTTACGCCGCACGCGTTCACTTCATTACGGTGTGCCCCAAGCTTCCCGCTTACATCGCACCGAGATGCGAGCTAGTCAGCATGTGTCTCTCGTTGGCAGGGACAATTCGGGTTGGGTACGTTTCCCATGGATCCGAGTCGGGAAGTGCCCTTCATGCGGCAGCGGCGAGAATCCAGCATCTTACCGATGGCGCAAGCACTGTGTTGAATGGAAGCCTTATAGTGAATGGACCACCATCCTACAACAAATACTCAGTGAGTATTAGCGACGGTTGGAACCTCGACTTGTCAAAGCTGGACAAGGACGAACTCGACCGCCTTCGTGAGACATCGAACAGAATCGGCAACAGACACCTCAGCTACCACTGCGAGCAGAAGATCAATGAACTCACACAGGAACCGCCCCCGCCCTTGCCGATCGAGCAAAGGCTGGCTCAGGCCCGCCGCGCGCTCGACCAGCAGGGGGCGAAGCTCGGGAAATCCTTGGATACAGACTTGCCGGGTACTAAAGTTTTTGACCGCGTTGCCCCTGATTGCTCCGTTCGGAAAGCGATCGAAGCGGAAATACCACGGCGCGCCCATGCGGCGGTTGTCGCAGCGCCAGGGCGAACGCGCAGCCCACGCCCCCCTTTCTCCCCCCAGCGATGTCAAGCTGAGCAACGAAGCGACGCGACGACGTCACCGATGAGGTCCGTAGCCGTCGTCTTTTGTCGGTCCCCTCCGCTTTGCATCAGGGGAGGTGGGGGGTGGGCGGCCGGCGCGGCGCTTGTCTCTGCGACTTCCAAGATACGGCCAAACCTATAGTACCGCCCGCGCACTACAAATGGAAGAAGCATCGCGACGACCAACGGGTATACACCGAGGGCATCAAGGACAGGCTGGAGCAGCTCAAGTTCAATTATGACGAGTTTGCTGCGGAGGGTTGCGAGCACGGCCCCAAAGCAGGTTGGAGACGAACAAGGTAAGCCGAAATTGTCCTTCAGGGCCCTCCTGGTCGGCTCGCTGGACGGGTTCACCATCGATTCCGATGGTGTTCTCGCGCTGGGAGGTGATGATGAGATCGATCCGACGGAACTCCAGCAACCTGAACAGAGGCGCGCGGCGTTGATCACGCAACTCCTGGAGTCGGCCAAGTCCCTCTTCGTGGAGGCCACCACGAAGTGCGTCGAGGCGAGGGAGGCTCGCGAGGCAATTTGGCAGCCAAGTGGCGCAAAACCAACGAGGTGGGTACGTCCGCAGCTCCAGCGGCGGCACATGAAGCGGCTGGAAGCGCTGATGCGGCGCCGCAGTCGGCAGGCGCTGCTTTTTGGGGGGCTCAGCCGCAGCCGGCAGCGGAGGCAGCAGCAGGCATCGTCAAGGTGCCACATTCGCGTCGAGCCTTTGGGCGGGAGGCCGCTGCCAGGCGAAGCACGGGCTGCGCGGAGTGAGGACCAGAAGTCCTAGCACCCTCCAGGGCGCCACGGATCACGATGGACAAACCATCCCGAGGGCCCACCGCCCGAGGGAGGCGGCCAACGAGCAGCCACCGCACACAGGCAGATTTCTGTCTATTGAGACAAAATCACATCGTGGGACAGCAGCCCCTTCAACGACGCGGAGGACGAAGTCAAAGGTGCCGACTTCGCCGGGAACCGCTGCGATGACTCCGACGGCATTATGCACGGCATGGGCAAGCACGGTTGGAAAGCTATCGCTTGCCCGCCAAGGGCCAGGGGGAGGCCCAGACATCGAGTGGATCAGTCGCAGGGGCGCGCCGGCAGTTCAGGAGATATCATATCAAGGTCCTGCGCGAGGGGCCAGGCCAGCAGGCTGAACCAGGTAGACTGGAGGGTGCATTCAGCGAGGGGGCACTGGTGGCATCGATGTCATTGTCAGATCCTTACGCCTCACCCCTGGGGCAAATTCGGTGGAATAAATATCGAGGAGATCGCGAATTTGGAGGCGTGCTTGCGCTTCGCGCAGACGCCGCAGGTCACGGCTGCTGACTGGAACGTCACCCCGGCAGAGCTCCGCTTCTCAAGATGGCCAAAGCTCCTGCAGATTCCCACTTGCGTCGTTTGGTGCGGACTGTCTGGCAGCCGCGCTGTCGCCATCCTGTTGCATTGTCATCTTCATCCGCGGGCGCCTTGGCTCGAGCCCGCGACGGCCCCCCCAGGCCGCCCGCCGTCGGGCGCACGGGGCCCAGGGGCGCCCCGCGGGTGGAGGCTTGCATGCAGGCGCTGGCGCGAGGTGGCCGCCCGCCTCGGCGCCGCCCGCGCGCCCGGCAGTGCCGGGCGGCAGAGGGTGGAGGCCACGCGCCGGGCCATCCTGGCGCCCTCCGACCTGTCGGGCGCCAGCCGGCCGGAGGTTGACGCCGCGCGGGCAACCCGCCCGCCCACCTCTGCGGGGCAGGAGGCGGACGACGGCGCGCCAGATCGCGCGGGCGCGGGCGCCGACGCCGGGCCCGCGCAAGGCGGGAGGGCCGGGAAGGCCACCCGGCTGACGCACAGCTGCAGGGGCAGCGATCGGGCTTCCCAGGACGGGTCTTCAGGCCGCCGTTCGACAGGTTCGCGGCCTTCCCACCGTCGGTCGGGGGTGGGTGGCAGGCGAAGGGGCTCCGCGCCACGGTGGGGGATTCCACGACGGCGGGGCGCGGCGTTCAGATCCACGCCTGCCTGCACCTGGAGAAGCAGCACCGACGGGAGGGCAGCAATGCCTTGACCGAGTTTGTACTCCAGGGGGCACGGCCGCATTGCGAGCCGAACGCCGTCCGCGCACCTCGCGGGGGTCCGACTTCTGGGAGGAGGACAGGATTATCAGGGCGGCGCGTCGCAGCAGGCCGCGCCCGCCGAGCCCCCCTCCCCGGGCCACCCCTTGAACAGCTATGATAAACGGAGTCGGCACGGGGGGGGGCGTTGAAAGCCCCCTTCGGGGGGAGCGGGGGGGGGGGGGGGCGATCAGGGGGGCCGGCATCTGGGAGGGGGGGGGGCCCGCATCTCCACGGGCGGCGCTCGATTTGTTGCGGGGAGGGGCGGGGCGGGCTCCAATGTGCGAAGGGTTCTTGTTCCAGGCAAGCGTCCGCGAAACGCGTTCTCTGTCGTATTGGGTCCTGCCGCCGGAGCAATTGTCGGAGCAATTGCTGCTAATTACACGCTTGCAGTACGAGATTGTTCATGCCACGTTCGGCCGATCCTGCGCCAGGTCCTCCGCCTGCCCTCCGGGGGGCCGCTCTGGCACCAGAACGGCCCGGAGCAGCACCACAGACTGCTCGCAACCCTTTTTCCCCCATTTCCCCCCAGACTTTTTCCTCGTCGTTTTGCACCCCCTCCTTTCCCATCCTCCGCCCTCCTGTTGTTGCTGCTGCTCCTATGTTCATGCTGCTGCTGATCCTCCCCGTCCTCCTTCTCCTCCTTTTTCTCCTTCCTGGTCAGCATCATAATCATCATCAGCATCATCATCAGCATGACCATCGTCATCGTCATTGCCAGCATCATCATCATCAGCAGCAGCATCACAATCATCAGCATCACCAACATCACCATCATCATCACCACCACCATCATCATCTTCATCATCCGTAGCCATTGTGGCTCAAGTTCGAAACGTGCGGCCCTGGCGCTTCGAGCTTGGTCGCTGCCGAGGGGGCTGCTCGGATCCTGGGCATAGCAGCCCTGCTCTGCTTCCCCCTCTCTCCGACCAGATCGGATCACTAGTTGGTTTTCAGTCTGCGCTCTTTCCGTCGGCGCCATGGCGCCGAACGCCGCAGAGCTTGCGATCAGGGAGTTGACTGCTCAGGTGGGGTTGATGAATGAGTCGCTCGCGAAGGTGGCGCGGCAGGTTTCCGAGCTCGCCGTCACTATGAAGCGTTTGCAGGAGGGGTCGACGTTGCAGAAGCAAAAGATTGAGGAGACTGAGGCAGCGTTAGCAGCGATGCGCGCGGCGGCGGCTGTCAGCGGCAACAGCAGCCTCGAAATCAGCAGCGACGACAGCGGAGAGAGTTCGGCGAAGAAGGCCCGCATCAGTGCTCGTTCCAGGAGCGGTAACCAGGACCTTCTCTCGAAAGCGATTGTTGTTGGCTATGCTGATGAGTTCCTGGCCCAGATGAAGGTGACACCCCAGACCTTCTCGAAGAAAGTGATTATTGCTTTCCCGTTGGGTGACGCTGCGTCTGAGACAACCGAGACCTTTCGTAAGAACTACCCTGACGGCTACTCCTACACCACTCCCAAGGGCCCCCGCTTTCTGCGTCTCAAGCCACTAAGGGATGGGGGAGACTAACAAGCAGCTCACGGCGATGGGAAATAGTCGTACGGAAGTCGAGTCGGTAGCGAAGTCGGCTCCGCAGCTCGAGGGGTGGAAGGTTGACTCGTCGGTCGGCAACGGCTTCATCTTCATTGCTAACGAGTCGACAGGTGATGCACTCAAGTTGTTCAGCGTTCAGAACCCCTTGACTGTCTTTGAGCAGCCTCGTGCGATCGCCTTCGCTTGTCACTTCGAGCAGATCGGTCTCGCGGGTAAGCATGAGGAGATGGTAGCAAAGGTATGGCAGCAGTTGAGCCTTTGGCAGTGCCTCTACAGAGTCTAGTGCCTCCGTGGAGGCTGGGTGGCTGTCACAGGAGGTTGCCTCTCCCCTGCGCGAGGGCCGCTTCGTCGAGGCCAAAAGCTTGCTGAGGGAGTGCGGGGAGACATTGGACATTCCCTTCCTACCGAAGAAACCGTTATCGATCGTCACGTGGAATGCCAGGGGGCCTGTTTGCAAGCGTGGCGAGTATGAAAGCCAGGTCTTGCACGCGTTGGCGCCTTTTCTTTGCCCTGCTACGTCGCAACCACATCGTCTGCATTCAGGAGTCTCATGGTCATGAGGGTGACTTGGTCTCGCTTCGCAAGGAGTTCACGTCTCACAGGTTCTTCTTCAACCCTCACCCAGATAACCTGCAGGGTCATGGCAGACTCGTCTGCGCGCATGATAAGCTAGCTTGTCAGTTCAGTGGTTTTACACAGAATATTCCCTATCCTGGTAAGGCGTCGTACGTTCTCGGTTGGGGTGAGGCTGGTCTCTTGGGGATTGTGGTTGTGCACCTACCGAATGTTGATGCTGGGATTGGTTACTATCGCCATTGTCTCTCTTGCATCCAGTCTGCTCTTCCCCCTGCTGCTGCCGCCGCCCACATCGCGCTCGGTGGCTTCAATTTTGTCTTCAGTGATGAAGGGAGGTTCAACATGGACGACGGGGCTTTCACTCGGGGGGTCACGGCCTTTACTCGTGAATGGAATGCTGCGTTCGGTTCCTGGACGGAGCTCTACCAACCTCTTGATACTCGGCGTGCATGTCTGGGTCCCAAGGTTGTTTCGACGGCCCGTCTGGATCGTGTGTATGTGGATATTCCCCCTGCAGTGCTCATGGACCTTGTCGTGACCGGTGCCACCATTGGGATGCCCACTAACCTCAAGAACCCTTCCGACCATGTCCCTGTTATGGTTACCACTGCCCCGAAGCCTCGGTCGGCCGACGGTCCTCCCCCGATTCCTGGTTGGGTCCCTACCACGGAGGAGTACATGAGGTGTCTGGATGAGCTGATCGCAAACATCGATCGGAGCCTCCCGATTCAGTTGCAGCTCGCTCGTACCAAGGTGCCTATGCACGGGCAAGCAGAACAAGCTGCTGGACCAGCACCGCGTCGGGGCAGGCTTCGCGGAGAAGATCCCCACGGTCATCCAGACGGCCACCAAGGCCGCCGTCATCATCGAGACGGACCTCACCACGGCTGCCACGGCCGTGAACCTCGCCTGCGGCTCTCAGGAGTTCGAGAGCAAGCAGAAGGAGCTGAGGACGACCTGCAACGCGGCCTTCAAGCCCGCCACCCTGCAGGAGGAGAAGGTGCTTGGCAAGCACCTCAGCGCGGTAGGCCCCATCAAGAAGATCGAGACGGACTTCAAGGCGGCCTCCACGGCCGCGAGCATCCCCGACGACTCTCACGAGATCGACGGCAAGCAGAAGGAGCTAGACATCCAGGAGGAGAAGCTGCAGGGCCAGCACATCCTCGCCATTGGCCTCGCGCAGAAGCCCGAGACGGACATCATGAAGTTCATGGCGGACTCTCCCGGCGTGCCCACGTTTTCTGGGCGCGGCAGGTCTGCCATCATGAAGTGCTCCGAGGCGCTGGCCTTGGATCCAGATCACTTCGACACATCTTTCAAGCCGCCCTCGGACATCTACGACGGCTGCGAGCAGCAGGCGATGAAGGACACGGCGAACCTGGAGAACCCTAGGTTCAACACGGGGGCCACCAGCACGATGCCCTCGCGCATGGTGGACAATTTTGGCGTGCTCACAACCTTCGAGTACGACTGGTCCGCCACCACGGTGCGCAACAGCGAGCAGGCGGTCAAGGCTAACTCCATGGGCATCGGCAAGAACAAGGGGATCCCGTTCGGGGGCAAGGCGAAGGGCAAGGGCTCCCGCCTCCTCGACACCTGATCCGCCCTCCAGCGCCCCTCGGCGCTTTCACGGCCCTAGCTGCTTGCGACAGGCCTGAGGTGCAAAAAAAAGGTGCCGATGCACGAGGCTCATACTGAGTTGCGTAAGATCCTTCGTGCTCGGCTGGCGACGACCGCCCATGAGTATTTGCATTGGTGTATATCTGCCTTGCATGGGTTTCGTGCTTCCTCATTCTATTTGGTTGTGCGTGCAATGCGTGCTTATCCATTGCTCTCCAACTTCTTTGATGTTGACGCAGGCACGTTCGTTGATCCGCAGGGGTTGTATGCGCACATTGCATCTCTTAACAACCAGTTGCTTGATGATGAGTAAAAGGCTCTCTTGCATGCGAGCGAACTCCCTGAGCACATGGTGGCACGCCGTCGCGCACGTGCGCAGCGCAATAGGGAACGCTGGCGCAGTCTGAACAACTCGATCTGCCTCGGCAATATATTGGTTGAGAGCACGGGTGCGCCGCGCACGTCGGTACAGCATGCGGGTGCTGAACTGTCTCGTCATTGGGGTTCTGTCTTCGCGGCCAAGTCTCCCAACCGTTCTCTTTGGCCAACCCTCTCCCAGTACATCCAGCGCGTTGACGTCCTCTGCCCGAATAAGGAATGGATTATTGATGCTGATGCTTTTGGGTCTCTGGTAAAGAAGTCGGGGAACTCTATGCCTGGGATTGACGGCCTACCGCGCGGCTGCTGGAAACACCCTGGGGCTCAGGCGATTTTGTACGATTTCTATCTGAATTGCGTTTGCCATCCTGATGACCCGCCCCCCGGTGACTTTCATGAGATGTTGATGATGGTCTTCTTGGCGAAGGGGGGTCTTCCTACGGATGCCACTGCAGTTCCCGCTCGGAAACCGTATTCGACCCGTCCGCTGTCTATGGGATGCACAGATTGCAAGTTGATTATTGCTGCTATCACTAGTCAGCTTACCCAGGTCAGCATACACACTATCCTGGAGTCTCAGACTGGTGGGGCCCCTGGCCGTTCGAGTCTGGACAGTGTTGCCTGTGAGGGTGATGGTCTCCTGGCTCACATTGAAGGCCGTGACGATGCTGCCCAGCTCTTCGCGGACTTCAAAGCTGCGCTTCCCAGCCTCATCATCGAATGGGCACTATTTGTTCTGCAGGGCATGGGGATCCCAGATTGGACGGTTAAATATTTTTGATAACCTTCATCGGGGCAATCTCGCTCGGGCCCATTTCTGTGGAATCTCTCTGGCCAGCTTGCCCGTGGGCCGCGGTGTTCGTCAAGGATGCCCCGCGTCCATGCTTCTGTTTGCCCTGGCCCTGGATCCTGTCTGTCGGTGTTTTGTTGCAACAGGACCACCTAGGTTCGGTCTTTCAGGCTACGCCGACGACCTCCGCTTCCTGTTGACCAACCTCTTCTCTGATTTGATCCCAGTCTTCCGTAAGCTCCGTTCATTCGCTGACGCTATCGGGCTGGAGCTGCACTTCGGGAAATGCACTCTCCTTAGGGGTGCATATGGGGATGAGGCTCGTATTCGTGCGCTCCTGGTCTCTAGTGGGGGTGGCTGCGAGCTCTTCTCTGTAGTTCGATGGTGTCGCTATCTTGGTGTATCGGAAGGCCCCGAGGCTCATTTGCACTCCTTCCCGACACAGTGTGACAAGTACTTCTTCCGCGTTTGCAAGATTCGTCTCGTGGGGGCCGGCCTGGCTAAGTTGATAGTTGCCTACAACGCTCGTGCTGTTACTGTGCTGAGTTAAGTCTTGCAATTTCATCGCCCGACTGCGAGATTATACATGCTTGAAGACGGTGCCCTTCAAATCCTACATGTGGGCCCGCGCTATAGCTTCGGCAGTCCCATGATGCTTAACTTGACGGACACAGGATGTAATACTCAGCGTGCCTCCATCAGGCACATCGCTGTCGCGTCGGTGTATCGAACTGTTCAGAGCTCGTCAGCGTGGACCGAATTCCAGAATAAATTGCGTCAGACGCATGATGTCTGTTGGGATATGATTCCACATCGGCTTCTTCGTGGGTGGCTTACCAGTTCGTTTCTGAGTTATATGAACGAGGTGTACGTCCGCGTTGCTCCCCGTGCCCGTGCGCTCTGTCCTGAAGCCCCCGAGACGGTCACGCAAGCCCAGATGTGCAAGGCCCTTCGTGACGATGAACGTCCTGGTGCTGCCCTTGGTGAAGTCTCTCGTCGGGTTCTGATGTGGCTCCCTCTCCGCCTCCCGCCTGCTGTCTGGTTTCCTGCCTTCCAAATTCGGATGAAACGCGTTTGTAATGCGGTTTCAATGTTTTTAGTGGTCGCTGTTTTAAGGATGCTTTGTCGAGGGGTTTGGACGTCGGCTAGGTTTCACGCTCAGCCCAAGGGATGTCTCCTCGGTTGCATTGACGACCGAGATGACATCTTGCACTACCAGCACTGCCCTAAAGTTGCCGGCTTCCTCTTGTCCTGGGCTCGCCCTCTTCCCCCTTGGCTTTTGCTGCCCCGCCTCCTGTGCTTTGCTGCGTGGGCGGTCAAGCTCCCGACACTAAGCGTGATGTTGCCCTGTGCTCGCTTGCGGAATGCTTTGTACATACCCATTCCCAAGTTCGTTTGCGTCTGGCCTCGGCCTCAGTGTCGCCCGATGAGGTTTTCGAAGGTCGCCTTCGAATGTCGATGCTGCGTCACCCCCCGATCCGCGCGGCCATCCAACACGTTCGTAACCCGAATGGGTTCGGCCCTGGGCGAATCTGCCCTGCTCTGCCTCCCCCTCTCTGACCTGATCGGGTCTCAGCATCGTTTTCAGTCAGTGCTCTGTTCAGTTGTCATGGCGCCGAGCGCACAGAGCTGCGATCAGGGATCTCGCTCCTGTGCATGTTGTATGTGGCTGTCATGTTACCTCTCTCTCTGTCTCGGCCGCTCTCTCGACGCTGCCGCTGGCTCTTCGGGAGAGTGATCGTCTCTTTCGTGCACATTGTCCTAGTCTTGCGTTTCCTGATGTCTTGTGTACGGCAGTTGACCGCTGTTAGGGATC